GTAATTTTGCCATTTTCGCAACTGCAACCTCTCTCTCCTCCGATCCTTCTGTTTCTCTTATGCTGTTCCTCCCTGAGCAATTCCTCGTACTTGGACGCTTTATCTGCCAGTTCCGCCAGATCTCCAAACAGCATCCCATCAAATCTTTTTCTTAGAGAAATCTTGAGAGTAACCTGAGCCATTTGGATAAAGTGTCTTTCTTTCATGGGGATTCGGCACTTCATCTTGAGCTTCCTAAACCTGTTTATAAAGTCTTGGGCAGGTTCATCTTCACTCTGTTTGAGGGCGGCAAGGTCACTGATGGTGACTTCTGGCTGAATTCTGTAATAGTAGTCATGGAAGACACTCTCCATTTGTTCCCAAGTCTGAATGGAATTTGCTGGCAGATTAGTGTACCAAGTGAAAGCTTGTCCAGAGAGAGAATTCCCGAAAAGTCTTAGCTTTAACAGTGGGTTATTCTCTATGGCTATGCATTGGATAGAAAATCTGCCTACGATGAATTCACGACGGTATTTGAAGTCCATTAAATTCGTCGACGTTAAGATGAATTAGACGACGTTAATTTTTTTAATGAAGACGTATAAATTATTAAACACGACGGTCTTTTTCTTGGTACCGACGTTGTATATAGACGACAACGTCGTCCTTATAAATTACTGTGTCGTAATTAATGACCCCATCATTTTTTCCACGTCGTTTATTTTCAAAATATGACGTATAAATTCTGTAATACGGCTCTCATTTATTTGGAACCGACGTTGTTTATTCATTTCAACGTCGTCTAAGTAAATACATACGTCGTAATTAATTAACCTGACATCTATTTCCACGTCATAATTCATAAAAAATCGAAGTGGAAAATTTATTTTACGACGGTTGTGGGAAATGTTGTGACGTAGTAGGTGTCAATAACGTCGTCTATTATGATTGTAAAGACGTCGTATTTATATTTGTCATCTGTTTCCTTTTTAACGACGTTTTTTTTGTTGGAGTTGGTCGTCTATTCTCATCCTCGACTGTTTTTTATGTCTTTTTGCAGCACAAAGACGTCGGTTTTTATTTTTTGATGACGTTTTTTGTTTTAACAACGACGGTTATTCACCGTCGTGGTTTTGTTATGGAAAAGATGTCGGTGGATTCCACGACGATTTGAAAACAGAATACACGACGGTGAATACCCGTCGTGGTTTTCCTTTTTTGTAGTAGTGATAGAAGGTTCGCATAACTTATTTATTCGATTGCTGACTAAGGATGGTTGGTTGGATGACTCGGTAAGCATTGATTGATTTGGGATTTTGTCGAAATGCCCATGTTATGTAGTGATTTATTGATTTAATAATGGAAACAACCTTTTTATGTAGAACATAGACATGGCCTTGCTTTTGCTACGGGAGCGGCACAAGAGCTCTGGCCACTGGGTGGGTTTTGACTGGACGATACTGGACACCACTTTTCAGGTCTCTATTATTTCATAAGCATTGTTTATTTTCAAATTTGGTAGCTGTTATGATGCATAACTCGTGTGCCATTATGCTAAAATGTGTTGACTTGGATTACAAGCAAATGAAGGCATATGTGGGAAAGGAGGATAGGCAACACAACAAGGGTCTATTGGGAATGGTCAAGGGCAAAAGGCCTAAGTTGGCTAAATCATGGTTGTCTGTGAATCACGTTTGTTTGCCCTTCAACCTACAAAAGTAGAAGAACTGGATCTTACTTTTTGTCGATTTAAAAGAGTGTGAGATAAGGGCATATGATTCAAAAGTAGATTTGTGCAGAACTCAAGCCATCCAACGGGCCGTGCAGCCGGTGGCGAAAATGCTGCCCCGGTTGTTAAAGGAATCTGGATATATTGGCGACGGTCTACTTCTGAAAAGTGAGTGGCTAGTTATTTGCGTCATGGATGCACCTCAACAAGTGCCGGGTGAGTAATATTCCACCTAACCACATTGTCTTATGAAATGGATTTGTTGTACAATGAATCACAGCTTCTTCGCTATGTTTTAGTGGCGACGGTGGGATGTACATCCTCAAATATTGCGAGTTTCTGACCTCAAATGTAGACCTGGCCAAGATTTCCCATGATGCCATGCCCTTTTATCGGTTGAAGCTCACTGTACAGAAGTTGCTGGGATATTGGTATCTGTGATTCATTAGGAGATACTATAACTTGCAAAGTTTAGTGTAGTATATGAACTTGCAAAGTTAATTTAACTGGGTGGGCAATTATGTTGGTAACAGACCTTATATTCATGAGTTATGAAACAAACCTTTCTGTAATATAAGGGAAGCTTGAAGAGCTTTCTTTGCATGCTTGAGCGTATCTTTCCCCTTTCTATTTTAGTAAGGTTTTGAAAAGGTAGTTTTCTTGTTTGTTAAGGAACAAAGTCTTCTTTATGATCCAACTCCCCCTTTTCACTTAAAATTAAAGAATTAGTTTTTGTATTCTGTTCAAATACAAGTTGTATGAAACCCTCAACACATATTGTTGATAGTATGTTGAACCCGAACCCTAAATGGTGCATGATTCTTTCAAATGTCGAATAAATAGTAATGTATCTTGTTTAGGGCAAACACAATTGTGAAGTTAGGATGCAGGCATATGAAATGTTGAAGTTTGTCATTGACTAATTGTGCTGAAGGCTTAATTATATTTTTACATTTCCAAACACGTCTTATATGTAGTTGTCCGGATTGGAAAATTACAAAACATATACTTAAAAACCCAAAACATTTCTCACTTTTTCATCAATTTAACAGCCAAATTCAGAAATGATAGAACTAACAACAATATGAGGATTTTTTTATGCCCTTCAGTATATGGATTACTTCAGCATATGCATTAAGTTCCTTCACATCCACCTGGTTTTGAATGTCAGATCAGTTGGGGTGTTAGCTGCTGTCACCCATTCATAGCCACCACACCTTGTAGCTCCCTATAAAAAAAAACCTACATTTTTCAGTCTAGGATTACAATGTCAGGCCATATTCTTTTCTCTGGAGCAGTTTCAGTTTGGGATAACTGTTTATTATATACAGCTTATTGTGTTTTACATACGAGGTTTGGGAAGATTATACTTACATATGTTGTGAAGATTCCTTTCGGATTTGGAAATTAGCTTCACCATCTCAGCATTGTAGTGTTGGCACTTCTTTGCTTCAATGTTTGTTGAAGAAATTGACATCACTTTGCCTAGAGTTGAAAATGAAGAAAACAAAAGAATTATACCCTTCCAAATAGTTGGCCAAAACCCCCAAATTATTCTCCTTCATTACTGAAAAGGAATTGTATTTTATTATTAGGTCGAAACATATATGGAGTTTGAAGTTTGAATTCGCCTTTTTTGGTGCTGACAATCCGGGAGCGGGAAATTCCAAAGTTGAATTTTTTTATTATTTTTTTAAACCCCTAATGCATGAGCGGGAACATAAAAAGCATTGTTGTGGGTAATTTTTAATAATTTTTTTTACCCTAAACCGTAGCCTTAAAGGCGTTTATCAAATGAAAATATAAGTAAGACAAAAATTAAAAGGAAAAGTGGCGTGTGGCGGCATGAGAATGCGCCACGTGTTGCTGAGGTCTGCAGCTCCCCACTCTAGCTCCTCCACTTGGCATTTCGTGTGTATTTTATTCATTTTTTTTTCTTCTGAAAATCTTAAAAAATACAGGAAAATTCAGAAAAAATGGGGGAAAATTCCTAAGTACGTATCGGGATGAATACTTCGTACTGAAAGTACAATAACGGATTTAGGAGTGAGGAAAAAATAAAATTAGGGAACAAACCCTAGTGTTGGATGATGCAAATGAAAACACTAGTACACTCTTATTTGTTCGATCACATTCATTCCGTAAGGATGTTTATATGACGCGGCTTTTTTCCGGATATGTCATGGAAGGAAATGTCGTCACGAGTTCGGAGGATTTTTTCTGGAATTTTTCCCCCTTCAATTCGATTTTTAAATGAATATTTAATTGGAAATGAATAAAAAATTTGAAAAGGGGTGGGTGGTGGCATGGGAATGCGCCGCATGTCGCTGAGGTCTGCAGCTCCCCACTCCAGCTCTGCCACTTGGCATTTCATGTGTATTTTATTCCTTTTTTTTTTTTTCCAGAAAATCTTGAAAAATACAAGAAAATTCAGAAAAAATTGGGGGAAAATTCCTAAGTATGTATCGGGATGAATACTTCGTACTGAAAGTACAATAACGGATTAAGGAGTGAGGAAAAAATAAAATTAGGGAACAAACCCTAGTGTTGGATGATACAAATGAAAACACTAGTACACTTTTCAAACCCTAGACTCTTATTTGTTCGATCACATTCATTCCGTAAGGATATTTATATGACGCGGCCTTTTTCCAGATATGTCATGGAAGGAAATGTCGTCACGAGTCCGGATGATTTTTTCTGGAATTTTTCCCCCTTCAATTTGATTTTTAAATGAATATTTAATTGGAAATGAATAAAAAATTTGAAAAGGGGTGGGAGACGGCATGGGAATGCGCGGCGTGTCGCTGAGGTCTGCAGCTCCCCTCTCCAGCTCCGCCACTTGGCATTTCGTGTGTATTTTATTCCTTTTTTTTTTCCCAGAAAATCTTAAAAAATGCAAGAAAATTTAGAAAAACTTGGCGAAAATTCCTAAGTACATATCAGGATGAATACTTTTGTCAGGAGTTTTGACTTATACATCTGTTTGGGCCAAAAATTGACACACCCAGCCCAGCGAAAAGATGGAAGCCCAAAAAACCAGAAGAGTCCAGCCCAAGGCTCATCAGAGCAAACAAAGCTGATTTGGGCCTCACAGGCCCAATATAATAGGAAGAGGGAGCCCAGAAACAGGAACAATCCCACGCGACATTTCTGGGATGAAAGTCAGCAATGGCGACTGTCATAGAAGAAGTGATTGAAGGGTTCATGACATCAAGTTGATTCTGAAAAAACTGAAGATCAAATCCCTCTTATATATGTATATTCAGAGATTTTTTCTTCTGTCCTTTCAGAGAAGGTAATTCTCCCAAGGAGATAAGCAAGTTACAATCTCAGAGAGGGATAAGCAGGAAAGCAGGGAGCTGTCCAGAAAAAGAATCAAACTAACCATCGCGGGTAAAATATCACAAGGGGCAGTAAAAATTGGAAAAGAGATTAGGTTCATTTTCAAGAAAATCAGGGAAGTGATTGCCTATCTGAGAGCCTATCTGCCAAAACTGAAGAAGAAGAGGAAAAGGGGGGAAATATCTTTGCCGCCCAATAAATAAACACAATCACCCTACTCCAGGGAAGAAACAGTTTACTATAAATACAAGAAGGGGTGAACAGGGTAAAGGACAACCAAAAAATCAATCCAAAAAAAAAACTCAAAATGATCACTTGATCTCAAAAAACCTTCAAAACACTGAAGCAACCAAAGCTCATTGAGCCAAGACAC